ACTTTCTCAGGGTGACCTTATAATTATGAAGCGGTGCAAAAGCCGACACTATCTTTAAAAAATTCGTAAAAAATTTGTGGTGAAGGATATTGCGACCAATATTTGAATACGGAGGTACATTTTGATGAGGAATCTTCCTGCGTTTACCAAAAAATTCCATTCCGGCTGCTTTCTCCAGAATCGCAAAAATCGAGGGTGACCTTATAATTATGAAACACACTGTAGACTTCTGCAATCGGTATGCAGCAGTCCATCCTCAACTGCTAAGTATTTACTATGAGTAGTGAATTCACTCCCGAAAAAATGTGCCTTATTAAATTTTCTAGTAACTGACTTTCTCAACCGCTTCATCGTTCTCGTAACCACAGAGAAGGATTCTGAGGAAAATTCCGAACGCACTGAGAAGAGCGACGCCTACTCTCCGTCCGTGTCCATGATGTCAAAAAGCTGTTTCGCTTTTCTGTGTAAAATCTCACTTCATCCTCTCATCTCCAAGAAAGAGTAAGGATTAGGGTGAATCAGATGCGTAGCCTTTTATGCTATGACTGGATAAAGCAAAGCGCAAGAGAAGAAGAGATAAGTTGACAGTCATGGTTCAAGCAGAAAATGCCTGCCATTGAAGATCGCGGGCGAGATAGCATACACAACACTGCATTTTTTACCTCGTAAGCTCATATGAATCAATGTAATCACTGAAATGGCGGACTCGTGGCTTCGCGGGTCTGCCCTTCTCGAGATTACAAAATATCTCCAAAAAGAATCACGAAACTAAGCAATATAAATGCCTTGCCAACATGAAAAATGAAAATGGAAAGAAGGACTAGAAAAAAAAANAAAAAAAAAGCAGCAAGAAAACACCCAGTTCTCAAAAAAAAAGTTTGCCAATAAAAATTGTAGGGGAAGGATGTTTGAATCTCCAAGTTTTAGATGTAGAAGAACATACATGTCTACCGCTTTGATCAGTTCCATAGTGATCTCTTCACTCTGCGGCCTTCTAATCTCATATATGGAGTTGACGATTATTTCGAATACATCCGCAGAAATATCCTTAAGTTCTACCTGAAACGAATGTGATCCTCAAAATTATAAAAAATTCCGAGCAAAAGCACGACTTACACGTCCATTCTCTGTCTCCAAAGTTTCATTTTTGAGCATAGCGCTGAAATATTGGGAGGTAGCTGCCAGCACACATCGATGTAGACGAAATTGGCGATTGTCGACGTCAATAATGAAGTCAACAAAGCGCTCAGTGGTCAACATTTCACGCAAAACTTCTGAAACGACCCCCAGATAAGGAGCTTCCAACTTCGAACAAATCTATGACCGCGTACCTGAGTTAGAAACCGTTGAACCGCACTCGAAAGTACCTGGAAAATCGTAACAACTTGCCAAAACGACTTCCTCCGTTTCATAGTCTCGGAATGGCAATTCCTGAAAATTGCAACGATAGAGGTATGATGCAATCCTCTTAGGAGACTGCAAGCCCTGAATTCCTTTCAAAATAATAGACATTCCATCACTTTATTTCTCCTCTACAACACCTTCAGAAGCCATTTGATACAATAATCTAGAAGCAAGGAATAACTTTCTCTTTTTAACGTGCTATTAAATCATTTGAATGAACCAGAGGGAGGAAAGGCAATGGAATGTTCAGAAAAGGAGTTTCACCCCTGCACCAGTAAATGACCGCAGATTGCAATAAAATAAATAACAACGGAAACAGTAAAAAGTAACACTCACGGCAGTCGTCTTGTAATCGAGAAACACCGTAATGTCTGCGCTCACCGTCAGGGCATCCCTCAGCCCACGACGGAGAAATCTATTCTGCAATTCCAAAAGTGATATTCCGAACAGCATTCCATTCGGAAAAAAGTATTACCTTGACGATATCCGAATGAAAAAATTTGCTTGCAGTGATTATTCCACCACGATTAATTGATAGGACACTCTTATTTAACGAGCATTCCCTAGGTCCATCAGGCGTTTCGACGCTGAATCGAATCCGTAATTGTATCTTGGGATTCGGACATTCTGAAATCAATTTACACAGTTATTGGATTGATGATGTGATTTGATCTTTGTGAAGAAAACAGATGCTAGGAGAAACTCCACGAACTGAAAATGGAGAGTTCCCAAACTATTATTTTCCATCATTAAGCATTGATCGCATACGTGAGCCAGGGATAGAGTGTGGGGAAGAAAACTCCGAAATTTGGGACCCAGAGCCAAAGAAAAGTGTTTTTGAATTGATTTATACTGGTTTCTACATGGACCATCTCAAAAACAATTGATAAACTTGACTAACCCTAGTAAGTCTTGGTTAACACAGAACGCAAAGTTTTTAGTGCAGTATCGTGGAATTAGCTACCACCTGCATTGAATATGTACTGCTTGAGAGACATTGAAATTTTGAAATACTTGAACTGAGGAAATAGGAGGCATACCCATTCGCACCCATCGGTAGCACAAACACGAAACCAGAAATCAAAATGTCTGGCGCCTGGTAGCCGATTCTGTGATTTACGGTTGCGACCAGATCATGAACACGAGTAGGGGTTGGAACCTTTGCGAGACTCAACGGCAAGAGCTTCAGCTGTAAAAGGACTACCAGCTGAACAGGAGAACCCACAACTAGTTTCCCATGGTCATAATACCATCACGATTAAAGTAGAAGCATTGGTTGGTATGAAAACTTTATTGGGTAAAATCGGAAGAAAAAAGTTTAATTTCGAACTCTTAATAAACTGCCAGAATGTGATAAAAATATGAAAGATCACTAACTTATTATCTGAAGATACAGAGATATATATCCAGTGCAGTCATCATCCTTACCAGCGGGAAACAACTTCAACACGAATTCATGATCGTTGTCACCAAAATTCCTATTCGAAAAATGTGAATGACTCTTTGAAGTAAGGAGCAAATAAACTGGTTTACTTGCTCGTTAGATGTTCTCCAATTGAATGAAGATCCATTTGAGCGCTAAAATCTTCAATCACCCAGGAATAACGGAGATCAACCGTCTCAAATCTAGTCACACATCCAGAGGCTGCAACTTTGCCAAGGCGAGCTCCAGTGTGCCTGGAACAAACATCATATCGTTTACGTATACACAAATAAGAGGAAGTTTCGAATCTACAAGCGCTACTAACACACGGGACCCTGACGTATGACAGTAACAACCGATTCTTTACAGCCGGCCGTAGCACGGTGCTTCACAATAAACCAAGAAATTACGCTGTTGCACAAGCTCTCACATTAGGATGCAGCCTCAGTCCTAACTTATTGCTGTCCTACAACGCACAATATTACCAAGCAGCGATTCGCCTGCAGGCTCTGTGAACTTTGACAGAAATAATGCGCAATGCACTTCGTTGAAGGCAAATCCTCAATGTCGCAGGGAGCATGTTTCAGCTATAATGCGATTTCCCAGCATTTTTACATGGGAGAGTCAAGCGGTTGAGGGAACTGACGTTCTAAGCAAAATTTCATTAATTGTGGCAACACAAGTCGCACACTTGTGCGCTGTCTCAATGCCTTTACAGTAGTACTCCAGTTCAGTTCCCAGCAAGGTGTGTTTCCCTACATGGTGATGCATAAGATGGTCAAAGCTTTCCTCTCCTGATGCTCCGACTAAATGACCACGTTTTATGCCTAAACAGGTGGACATCACTCGACACACAACCGACAACCCTACCATGTATCTAATACGACTGATTATATGCACCTAAGTGGGATGAAGTTACTTAAAGCTGTCACACAAGATTTGCTACGCTCATTGTATTTCGATTTCTCACTAATTGCAAGACATCTTTGATGGATTTCAAATCATCGAGGGTTGTGTGACGTCTGGAAAATTAATTCCGTCCGCTTTTCTCCTTTCAGTTCCACGAGAACAATTCCGCCTGATTATGAGCCAAGTTTGTTTATAACTTTGAGTGCACTTTCAACTTGCAACTGGAAAAAAAATGGTAAAGCCGTTAAATGACATTCAGCGATTGTATTCGAGATAATGGTTTCATACTATTAATTAGCGCCCCAGGTGTTCGAAAAGATAGGCATTCGAAAGTGCAATATGGATATAAGAACCGGTTTTGGATCACTACATACACTTCATAACTGAACCCTGACCTAAAAATCTTTAAGAAGTTACATTGAAAAACAATAACGCAATACCCGTCATCCGCGGTGCGCCCTGTATACATCCTATTGCAAATCTATGTTTACTTGGTCACAATACACTGTACTGCTATTGTAAGTTAAGTAAATATATAAATAAATAAATTCTGCCCCCAATACCTCACGTTTCGAAAACATCCTATTTCATATTGACCTTTTTCTGCTTACATACGAATTGAAGAATTAATAACTAACACATAACTATCGTCCGCTGGTTCAAAGTCGACGCTAGATGCCTGGGACATCTGCTGAAGCGACCACCTGATAGGAATTCATACTGAACCTACAAAAACACCGAATTCGTAAACTCGAGATACAATTCGCTGGTCTTCTTACCAGTCCCTTGACACGGCTGTCAAACTGTAGAAAACTAGAGTGAGTACGCATTTTATTACTTAGCTCACATGTCATATACATAACAATGGAACGTGGTTCCCGATGAAATTCAAAACAAGCAAATGTTATGAATTTAGAATTCGAAGATTCTGAAATAAATCAGCTCTTTCAGAGAACTTAATCTTCAGTCAACGATCAAAAAAGGAAAAGTGGAAAAGGAAAGCAACAAATGAGCGAATGTAAAAAGAAAGAATACACGTCAAATGAAAACTTCCACAGAATGATAGAATTATGTGTGGAACACACTTCACGCTAGTTATCCGTTCCTAATCGTGAGCATCAGCTCAAAGATAACAATCTTATAATACAGTTCAAAATCACTTCTAAATACGAAATAAACTGGAAAATCGCGAGTTTCGAAAGACGAATTACACAGAGAGCGATCCAACAAAAAAGTTAATAAGAGAAATTCACACCTCAAAAAAGAAAAAGCTGCAATGTCTCAGAACGGAAATCGATGAGAGATCTGAGCGACGTCGCTGAGACAGACCTCTGATCCCGTGCCTTCTCAAAGCATTAAGTGAAGTAAGAAAAAACATTATTTGTAAACAAACAGCAGGGCATTTTAACGATAATGTCAAGTGGCCTTTTCTACAGCACCTGGTTCACCCAACTCCTGAAAATTCCTTGGTTAGAAGTTGTAGCACTTGAACCTTGAAGCAAGGTGAGCACATCGCACTTAACATGATCACAGTCATTATGCGTCATTATGCGCATGACCATGCATCGGAGAGAGGCCCCCAGAGAGGACAGAGATTGAGCAGCTATGTAGGCTTGTAAGACTCTAACTCAAATCCACTCTTCAAATGACATCTGCCCAATTCTCTCACCAGTCGAGCCGCTGGGCTAACGCCGGCATCCCCCTTCTTATGACATGGGTTTGATAATCGGCTAACAGGCCTACTCCTTTTCGTAACTAATGCCTATTGTTGATAATCTTGGATTCTCGTGCCAAAAAAGGAACGCTAAACTTGACAGAGGCCTAACAGGGCATGCAACTGGTATTCAAAGTGCGCCGATGCTCATGCCTATGATTAGAAGTCTCGGTCTGTTGCTGATCGTCTTAAAAATAATGACCCATTGAAGGTTCAAGTGGTGGGCAATTAAAGCCTTGAATGGTACTAACAAATGTTGACCAGTCATAACAACACTATTATAAAATGTTCTTGTCAGCGGAGCTTCCTTTTTCGGCACGAGAACCCAAGATTATCAGCGATCGGATAGTTTTGCCGAGAATGATATCGAAGCAAAGAGAAATCGTGACCCTCCATCGAGCCGAAATTTTTGGTGGGTAGAGGTCGTAATCAAACAATAGCAATCTGCACCAAATTTCATCTCCATATAATTTAGTACCCTTAATAGGGCCCTTCGGTGCACTTACCCTTCTTGTCCAATGGGACATTTCAAAGAGGCGAAGCTAGATCGTAACAAGAAAGGTGTTAGGATTTACTTGGTGAGTGGATCTCGCTCCCTAAGAACTCTTCTATCGCCAGTGTTTACATCCTGTCTCTACTCCTACCAATTCTGAAACCTCCAAGTCCACGAGAATAGGGGTTATGCATTTCCTCGCGAACATTTATTTCGCGCAAACTCCATCCAAACCTCCCCTCACCCACCATTAGTGTTTTCATCCTTCCGCCTGTACTCCTACTAAATTTTACGCTCCAGCTTCAAATTGACAATTTTCTCCGCCCCCTATGGGCGGAGTCCGTTCGTACACCTACCATAGGTGTTCCCATCCTGCCCCCAGTATTCCTGCCAAATTTGAATGTTCTTGATCCACGGAGACAAGAGTTATGAATTTCCGCTCAACCGCTCAAACACTTATTTGGCCCAAACCCCGCCCCTGCGGACGAAGTCCTGTGCCACCCATTATAATTGTTCCCGTCCTACCTCCAGTATTCCTATGAGTCGCTCCGAGTAAATTGGGATACTCCTTTCTCTCGCAGAAAATAAATAGTGAAAGTAGTCTTGGCCAAACCAAGCAGTCAAAGAAATTCATAGTTCAACAGACCAAGCGAGACATAGCAAACACAAAAAAATGCAAGCAAATAAACAAAGGATCAACACATAAACTAGGTATAGCATCAGAAACATCACATTACAGCAACTCACCGACTACTGTCCATTTCCAAGGCCGAAACCGACTAAGCGACGCATAAATCCATAAATTCGCCGCATCTTTGAAGGCGGCTCTCCTAGTTCTAAGCTAGCCACAGAGCTATCTCTTAGTGACGCTTTCGTATCCAGTTTTGATAGCGACCATTTGCTCCCCATTCGACCAACACCAGAAGCCACCTGATCAGATGTGAACATAGATTAGAATTTGTGCAATATAAAACCTAAAGCTCACCTTGGACGGCGTAGTAGGGGCGCTTCGGATTTTAGGGAATGCCATTGAGGTCGCCTCATCTTCATCGGTTGTTGACCGGCAAGGTGTGTCCAGATTGAGCCGATTTACGACTGGCGTTACTCCACTGGTACCCCGTTCAAGTACACGATAAGGTCTCTTTCGGCTTCCACTCAATGAAGTTGAAGGAGTGTGAGATATGTCGTCGCTCATTGCGCGACATGGTGGAGTACGTTTCTCTGCAGATCGTGCAGGCGGCGTACGCACATCGACAACCAATGTGGTCGCATTGCGATCTCGCGACCTGAGTTTAAGGCTTACTGCAAGTCCTTTCAACACAGGTTAAATTTACCCAACTTTGTAACCTAGGAACTTTATTCAAAGCTTTTCTGTTTTCCAAGCGTGGTGCCCTTGGAAGACATTAGTTTCAAAAATCGAAGGCATAGTAATTCAGCTTGATATATTCAATGAGGAAGCAAGGAATTCTAGTGAGTATCCCCCAAACGTCGCCAGCGCCATTGAGAGCTCATTACCTTTGTAGGATTCCTTCAGCGATAAGTGCTGATTATTGGTGAATCTCAAAAAAAAANAAAAAAAAACCGGCTTTTATCGAGGGGATCGGTTGCCGTCATAAATGGCCCACAAAACCACCGCCTTTTCTTCTTACCTGAATGTATTTCAAATAAGAAGAAAAGGCAATGGTTTTGTGGGCCAAAATTTGTTCGCAATTCGTAGATCTATTCAATGAGAATAAGTTTCAGAAAATCCTCCTTTTCTACCCTGGCTAACATGGACTTGTGGTCTTATTAGTAACAAATAAATGAAGCCCGAAACCTCACATAAATTACGCCCTAATTAACACCTCCCATCTTAGAAAGAAAGGAAATGAGGAGTTACCTCGTGATCATTCCGAAAGTTGGTGTAAGAGAGCCATCTACGTGTATTTTGATGTCTACAGAACCTGACGGTGTCATTACCTTGAAAAAATAGTGAAAATAAGTAATGCAGGACCATCAGCAAACTGAGCAAAGAAAGAGGCAACGTTATACATGCCTTATCTTCAACGTTGACACACGATGATCGACAAGGACCACGCCTAGTTAGTGTTGCTGACGACCTCCTCATTGCAATATTAACTGGTCTAGGTGTCGTCTGACCCTGAACAGAAACATTAAGAACAGGAAAAAATCGGTCGCAAACCCTAAAAAGAGACCAAAACCTCTACCTCCGCCGGAGCTCTTGACGCCGATCTAGTCATACGTCGTTCAGGGAGAGGACCCTTATCTTCCGTCTGATTCATAACCCTAGCCGGGCGCTGAAAAACATAAAAATCATGGAAACTAAAGAGTGGCGGTATGTTTCAAAAACGCACATGGTATCCACACACCTTACTCGCTCCGCTCGTCACTGAGCAGACTTCCACCTCTTCCTCTTCATCTGTCCCGTCCTCATCAGAAACGGGGCGTTTTAACGACGTCTTTACCTACGAGGAAAAGATGAATTTTCAGTTCAAGCAAATGATGTTAGTAAAAATACGAAAATCATAAAAGGAATTACAATAAATGGAGATAATATTGATTGACGGATCCATTCAATGAAAAAAGAACTTACTTCAGTGCACACTATCACTGATTCCTCATGACTTTCAACCACCTCAGGAGTTGCCGTCCTTACAATTTTTATAACGTCATCAGTCACCTCAAAGCAGAAAACCTAAAATGTCGCTCCAAAAACTACCCAACAGAGACTTACATCACAATTAGTGTTTTCGATGGCATTTGCAGGAATTTCCGGAGACACTAAAGTAGCGCCTATCGGGGAATTCATGGTCCTAATTGAAGTAAATTCCAATGAATTGGCAATGCCATTGCTGTATTCCGCATCCATATACGTTGAGCGATAATGTTCTTCAATAAGACGTTCTTCAGTGTGAGTGATGAATCCAGGACCGTTGTAGTCGACAACTGAAAACGAGACAATTGAGGAACAGATTCGCTGTTCTGGAATCAATTTCGTAAAAAGACCTGAAAAGTTCGGATCTCGGGCTCCTCTGTAAATGATGGGAGTACGATACGTGAACAGCTTCAGGGTGGATTTTGGCGAGATACGGACCATACACTCCGGATCGTCTATGAACAACTTGTCAATCGATTCATTAATTCCAACGCATTCCTCTACGCAAGGATGGTTTAAAGGTAGGTCAGCGTATGGCGAGTCGAACATGACCTGAAAAGGAGATACGTCCACAAAACTCCAAAGCGGAGCCATCGCCACGCAAAATCATTGGTGAGTAAAAAAGAGAGAATGGCGGACAGAAACACAAAAATACGTACCGCTATCGCAGTTACATTATCTGCTCTCAGATGGCGCCAGTTGCGGAAAGCGTTTGCGACCAACACTCTGGCCAAATTCGTATGTTTATTTCGATACTAAAACAGAAACAGAACCCAATTCGAACAAAGACCGTAATAAGTTGAAAGAAAATAAAACATACTAGTAAATCTTCACATCGATCGACTCCTATTTGTGATACTGACTCTTCCTCATCAACAACTGCAGCCACCTGAAATTTTATTTGTACTGATTTCACGTGGAAATTGTACTAGTGGACGGAAAATGAGCTGACGTTCAAGGAGGTGAAGCTTAAGTTGAAATCCTTTTCTTTAAAACTTCGATATCGGGTTGTTATCGTACTAGAATGCTTAGAAAGTAAGGATACCGCACTCTAGCGATGGGAATAGAGTATTAAGACAACGACGGATTTTTTTTTCATCAACTGAATTACCCCATGAGGACATCGTGACAGATATATGTCCTCGAAATAATGAAAATCTTATTCTGTGAGAGTTCGTTCAAAACAATGGGCAGTTTCAGAGCCAGCGACGTGCGTTGAAAAGCAGCGTTGCTGGAGATGATGAGATTGTCTCCTACCTGAATTGGTCCAAGTACGTTGGTTAAACCATCCGAAGCAAGAACCAAGCAGACATCATCTCCTGAACATTGAGTTTTCACATATATGAGGTTAGTTTCTGATTGACATTTTTTCAGAACGTTTGGACGTCTAAATAAAATAGGAGTCGGGCAGTTGTATTTAGAGCACACAATAGCAGTTAGAATTTTCAGTAATGCTGAGATAATGGCGGTCTCAGCGAAGTAGTTATGAAAAAGAAAACTCATGAGTAAGCGATTGCTCTTGTAGGTCCGTACTGACAATCTGATACATAGGCATTAATGTATTTCATCAAAGACGTTTTAGTTTTGACAATATAAATGAAGGAACAATCATGAAAGCTGTATTCTCCCACAGCAAAAGCCACTCTGTGTTTAAGAACTCAGAATTCCTACGGAGACGAAAAGAAATTCCCACACTAACAGAATCGTTCAAATACCGATGCATTCAAAAATTAAAATGAGAAAGAAATTTCGCACCAGTCAACTCTTGCACAGCCAGATCTGGTTCAGGAGAGACAACAAATTCCTTAGTGTCCTCGCAGTAGGACCACACATCTCCTGAAAAGTTCTCATTCCTAACATGTTTGAGAACCTCTCCGCTCCATTGGTGATATAAAAAATTCACCTAGGCTTCTGGCGACAGCAAGGAATGGAATACTTTCCGTCGGTGTACTTCGCCTAACTGGACCTGTATGATGTTTGAGTGGTCGTGTCCAAACAACACGTGCAACTCCGCTTTTAAGCGCTACCTAGATGTAGTAACGCCAAAATTTTTAAAAAATTTTCGACCCATTTTGACTTGACTATTCAAGAATTTACCGATCCGCCTGCTATTCTAATCCTTGCTTGTTCATCTTCACTCTCCGGTTTATGATCAATAGTTAGCCTATGAGGAACAAGATCCTCTGAATTGTCCTTACGATCTGAATACATGCAACTACATTACTGCGTTTACGATATGTAAAAAATTTCAGAGGCAAGAACTTACAAGCTCTTTTCAACAATATGATGGCAGAGTCACCAACGTGACCGGTGTAGAGTTTGCCATTCCTGAGAATAGCAATACTGACTGTTGTTCCTGCTGTACTGGGATACCCCGAGGCCGTACGAGGCCACTCCGCTGAAATTATCATCATTCGTTGTATAACACAAACACACAACTAGAAGAACCTAATATAAAAGGAGAAGAACGTTTAAAAGCGCTCAAAAACAAGTGATGAGAGGAAGACTGTAACCATGGTATCGGCTTGTTTACACTTTCGCTCCACTGATATAATAATAACCCACAAGTTAAGCTGTTTCCAATTCACACTTCAAATATCTCATCCGCTAGCATCGCTACTTAAAAATAAAACGCAGGGAGTGGTGTCGTATTGCTAAGAGAGTAAAATGTTGCGGTAAGCAACGAAAACGCAATTGTTACTACATGAAATTGAAGAATATCTCGAGTAGGAGAAAACTCCCTGACCCATAGCTATAAAGCACTACTTCGGAGTGGAATATATCAAAGGAATAGATTTAGGCAAGCGATCTCAAGAAACAAAAATAATGTGCCGCGTTTTGCGCATACTCTCGACCCCCCCCCCCCCCTTTCCTCCATCCTCTGATGCGAAACAAAGCCTTATGAACAAAACAAACAGCTAAATGAGCAAAAATACTCACACACTACTTTCCAGATGCCGTGATGAGTAGTGAGAAAGCCCAATCTGATAGCTTCTAATACATCATCGTCGTCGTCAGAATCGAATAACTCATTTTTCTTAAATTTTTTAAAAAATATTACTCGATGAAATTGCAACAGAAGAGCACAAACAGTTTTGAAAAAAGTAGATTCAAGCAAAATATTCACCATTATATTATTCAGGAGATTCCTTCTGACATACTCACTTGCTTCATGGCCTCCATGACCATCAAAAATCCCAAAAAAGGTGAATTTTATAGAACCGTCATCATCCCTAATAGTTTCTATATGAACGCGATCTTCCATATATTTGCGGCCGCCCTTAGAATCATAGTGTTAATTTGGCCAACAGAAAGAAAAGAGAGTTATTTCCCGAAACCTGATTGGCTGCTACGGTTATCCGTAGGTTTTCTCCATAGCGAACACCTAAATGTGACGCAACTTTTCCCTCATTTGAATTTGGTGTCATTTGGAGGAAATAGGCCGATCCGTCAATTTGATGCTAATGTTGACAGCGCCTGGAAATGATTCAGCGTTTTACATAAAAACTTTAGCGACGAATAAACGACGATCACTTGCCCCACACATTCTTCAAAGAAATGGATATCGCAAATTATAAAGAGAACGCGAAGCAGAGGAAATTTAAAAACCACTACGCACGATCGAAAGATTAAGTCCCTGATCGGGTTGTAGCTCTGCAGCCCAGCCCTCATTTACTTGCTGACAATTCATTAACACCGGAATGATCCGGAGGAACGAAGTTCTTTTTTTAGCAGCATTTGCACTTCCATTAATGAGTCAAAAACGCCACTACGCCGTTATTCTTTTGACGGTTGATGTTTGATCAAACGAGCCAAAACGACTCATTCTTGAGACATGTTGGAGAAAAGAAAAATCCTTCCGAGTAAGCAGGATTCTACTAATAAATAATACGAAACGATTGCGCTGGAAATCCGCTCTCGTCTATTCTGCATACTGTTCACACTAATTTTCAGGATTTTTTTTTTCATTTCACTTTTCAAAGATGAAGCATAGCAGCCTGGAGACAACTGATTTCATGAAATCAAAAGGGGAGGTGTAGGCCTTTTTCACGTAAACGCTTATGCCACACGTGAATTTCACGAGGTTTTTTCTCCTAAGGAAAACAGTGGAAGCGAGCATTATTTACATCTGAGGGGCAAGTTCGATTTCAGAATACCCAGGGCCTGACTAAAGGTTACATTTAGGCTTGCACAGTATTGAAGGGCAATTTACGTAAAAGAAACCCGCAATCTGCTGTACACAAATTCGCAAAAAAACGCTGAAGTCGAAGAGTAGACACCTGGGCTCATAGAGCTGCGCCCGTTGTCTCAATCATGCAGTAAAGCGATGAAAAAAATATGAATTTGCCTTCACCTTGAAATGACCCGTTACGCAGCACTTCAGCTTTAGAATGATCGTTAATGATGGCTGTTGTACGGCTTTCAGTACAGAAAAAAGCTCAGTCACATTCAAAACAAAAATTAACAAATATATTTTGGTTTTGATTCGAACAGTACCTTCCACCCATACACATACAATTCACTTCAAACTCGGAGCTAAACGAGAGAGTTCAATAGAACCCTAGATGAGCGATCAAATTATACAAGAAATAGAAACTGGCAGTCCAGAACGACTTGACCTCCAAATTTTCGATAACGGCATTGTGTTTAAACATTTAAGATACTTCAAATGTATTGGAAACGTACTCTGTCGAAGAAAAAACTAAGAAATTCACACAGAATAAGAACTAAATACTTTTTATAGCGTTTCACGCAATCTCCGAGAATTCTCCTGCCAAGAACCCATATTTATTCAGATTGTAAAGTCGACAGTTCATGCATCTGTCACACTATATGAAATAACTAACATTTCCGTGATTTTCCTATCTACAAGCAAAATAGTAACATCGGGAGTTAGTTAATAATCAGAATTCGACTGCATTGCACATATACATCGCATAGCTAACTAAGTCGCTCCAAAAATCACAATATTTCTCAGACCATCGAGCACACAAGTAATGAAATGCAAGTTAAACCATTTAAATAAAGAGAAAGCAAAATGTGGTAGAGCAAGTCGAATCATCGGCGCGGCGGCGTCGCCCGACCGCGTCGCTTGTCATAAACGGCGCGGTTCACACAGCGCTCGCCTCCCTGGAGCAGCTTAACCCTGCAGGATGTAATATTTCTGCAGCTAAGATTTTTGAGCTTGACTTTGCTTTCTTTTCTACGCTGGATAGTCAGTTTCCTATGTCGTGTCCTTTTCAAATCCGATGTCGCTCCATGATCAGATAAAGCTTGCAAAAGACAAGCTTAAACCGACAACAACTGTGTAAGTGCTTTGTTTATGATGATCTTGACTAAAATCTTCTTCATCAGTTCATGGCATCAGCATCTATAAGAAACGGCAGAATACAAAAGTTTGGGATTTTTGGTTACGATTCATTACTGGTTACTGCATTAACTGCTGTGCCTACAGTGTGAAAACCATGGCGACTCGTCCGCATTTCTTTGTGGAAATAGTTCAAGGTTTCAGGGATAATCAGACTTCTGCGATACACAAAATTGTTCAATTTGTGGGTTGTAATTTACTCCGATGCGTGATATTTTAGTGGTACCATGGGTACACCGAAAATTGGTTGGAATAAGGCCTGGCGAAGACCATCCGGAAGCTATAATTCCTTTCGGTGAGGACAGGCTCGTTCTGGCTTCATTGCTTGTAATATACTTGCTTTTTGCTAAGCGTTGGGAACGGTCAACTCGCCTACGCTCATATCTCGCTCTCCCTTCTTGATAAATGTACTGAACCACCGTTTATTGTTTCAAAAGAGTATTACCCGAGTCTTCACGCACCCATCCTGGTTATCGGCCTAACAGCCAATTTTCCCGCGTCAAAGAGTAACATTTTTGGGGCCTGGAACGAAGACAGCTCTCTTCACGAGCTAAAGCCAGGATGGGTGCGTGAAGACTCGGGTAATACCCTTTTGGAACAATAAAGACAACGGTGGTTCAGTATATTTATTAAGAAGAGAGAGCGAGATATGAGCGTGGGAGGTTTGACCGTTCCCAACGCTTAGCAAAAAACAAGTATATTACAAGTAATGAAGCCAGAACGAGCCTGACCCCCACCGCGCCCCGCCCCACTTGATAGCCGGGGGCAAGGCGCTCACGTAATATCATAGCAGGGGGTCGTCGAAATTCCTTTCCAATTTGAATGTCATGGGAACTAAAAAAAAAGTAAGTTGCAATGAACACCAGAAGCTCCTTGCTGATCTGCCTAGTTCCTGGGATCCGAGTCACAACGCTTTCGAATAGAAAGAAATGCCTCTCGATTTCAGGAGGCACTTTTCATCGTCCCCTCTTTGCTACTGGGATTTCTGACTTCCTTCACAAAATTGTTGTAGAGTGGTACTCGAAGATGGCAAAGAGGTAACGGAACGTAGAAACGAAACTGGCGAGTTCGTCCAGGATGCAGGAGATGAAGGTGGGAATACCGCAGTGAAAGGTAGTTCATTGCTATTTCGGGGTTGTTTCTATATTCGGTGAACTGGCAGCAGTTGTCTGTGGAAGGTGCTTGGCTGGCAGCCCTAATACTTAAAACCAGACAGCGACACGGCTCTCTTAAAGAAACTTCAGAGAATCCCTGCCGCATTCAGAAAATGAGGGGACTTGAGATAATCGGCAGCCAAATCACCGAGTACACAAGTATCTCCTACTGGAACAATTTGTAGTTGTGTTACTGTAGAATTATTAACAAATCGGAAATATTTCTAGTTACATTTTCTGTAATATTTACTATAATGAATTTCTTCTCCAGGTGTTTCCAACAGGCGGCGGAAGAAAGTCGAGCATGCTACTCGGATGGGATTCGTAATAGACTTGGAGCCAGATTTACAGCTCGCAAACATTTGCCCTGGTGTTTACCTAGGTATGCTTCAAGTTACATTGGTTTCTAAATCAGTTTATATGAAAAGGGTCCAATCCATACCTGAGGTTGCAGTATGTCGAGTAAGAAGGGATAGGAGTGAGTTGGGAAGATTGATCAAAAGCTAGATTGAAGGGGTTTGAAATCAGTTATCATGAGGAAAATGATTTCACCGAAGTAAGGGTGGGATCTGGGGTGGAACAAAGGCAGCCAGTAATTGAAAAGCTCGTTTTGACACACGTTGGAAACCCCGTCAGTAACAGCGATCAACCCATCACCAGTTCCTCATCAGAGGAACTCATCGGGCTCTTTTTGCTGATTTTGACGGTAACTGTTTGCTTGTTGTCTGTCACTTTACCAATTTAGGTAGTCAAGACGTAGCCAATGAACTGACAGTCCTTCTGTCCGAAGGAATCACCCATATAGCAAACGTGGCCACGGGTGTGCCAAACCATTTCCCAACGAAATTCGTTTACCTCCGCTTGGATGTGTTGGATCTGCCATGGACAGAAATCGTTCAAGATTTCCCTACTGTACATGGATTTATGAAGAACTGCGTTGATAATGGAGGAAAGGTGAGCTCAAAAGCGTTCGGTCTCCCCGTGCGCCCTTTCTGGTTCCGTTTAAATTTTCGGGAGAGTAGCCTTCAAAAACTATGTCCCTATTTCGGGGGGGGGGGGGGACGCAAGGTGCCGCGGTACTGACGGGCGAACGTAACCTCTTCTCTTGATCATATGTTTTACTCCGTAGAACAAAGGAGCTGAGGTGAACGGTTGAAATTGGATGATTCTCCAGGAGAACAAAGAGGCTTCTGTAAACAACAACAACTTTTTCCTTTTCTGCTGTCTCACAAAGTCCTGTACTACTTGTTTGATTGTGTTTATTTTCATTTCCTAGAGAACGTGGCGTTTCTATAGGTGCTCGTGCATTGCAACGCCGGTATTTCACGGGCAGCGACGTTCGTAATCTCATACCTGATGGCTTATCATGGAATGACCTTTCAGTGCGCCCTGGAAACGGTCAAGAAGGTCCGGCCAAGTGAGCCCTGATTCGCTTTGACTTTGCAGGTCTACAACTTCTAAGATCTCAACATTTCAGAAGTAAGGCCGAATACGGGTTTCATAAAGCAGCTCAAGTCTTTCGAAGAGTCACTTTCAGCTCAAAGAGTCTTATGAAAAACGATTGCCGGTAAGTGCGACTCTTCAAAAATTTGATTACTTGTAGATGTAGTAAAAGTAGAGTGGAGGATTAGGCATAAAAGGCATAAGAAAGGGGAAAGAAAAAAATAGAAGAGCTTTGTCATTAGTCAACTCTTCTGTGATATACAGGTTTTTAATGGTGGAATCTTTATTCGCCTGACGTTCCGACTAACTCGTCGTTATCGAAAGCCTGAAAGAGTATCGCAACTTTAGAGTGTTACCTATCACGCTTGACGTAGACCAGCTCTTAACTAGTTGCAACTCAGGCTGATGAACTTACAACTAATAAGAAACTCCGACAAGTCACTCTCGTCAATTCCACCAATACCGAGCAGTTGCTCAAGTTTCAGGCGAATAAAGATTCCACCATTAAAAACCTGTATGGCACAGAAGAGTTGACTAATAATAGTACAGATGCCCAGATTTAAAGAAAGGCGAACATGGAGAGAGCTTTGTCATTTCTGGCTTGACTCCACCCACAGGAGGCGGGACGTACGCGGTAATTGCTAATTTGGACCTGCGACGGTCAAATTTTGAACGAGTGTAAGCGGAGATTCAACATACCGATGGTGTGTTGTAGAAAATGACTGAACTGTATCCAACCTGCGGAAGCGTAGGCGAATATAGGGGCGAACTATGAGTGAAATGGGCGTGATTTGAGTGAAAACAGGCAGTCAAGTCGGAATGAGAAGGAATCAACCATGTTACCGGAACACACAAAACTTGAGCAGGACTTCGCTGGTGTTTGTTCCGCTACAAATCAATAGCTCCTGTTTTCCTGGACTAGAGTTTTCGAATTTGGGAGAGTGCAAGCGGCGGGTCAACTAAATAACATGAGGAGGAGATCGTCCGGCGTCAGCCGGGCCATCCGGCTGATGAAAAACTTTTTTTTTCACGTTTCACACCTTTGACTTGTCATATTTCAGATGAATCCTTACACATGTGACTTCAGTGGTCTGGAAGGGATGAAGGAACGTGGTATGATCCCTCGACCGGAAAAAAGCTACTACAACGAATTACCTCCTACTAATTGAAATAAATGTTTTTGCTGGCATCAACAAGTTACCAAGTATAAGAAGATAAATTAATTCAGGTCTCTCACACCATACAGACACGCTTGGCCTTTGCAGCCCGTCTCTCACGCTGTTTCCTGCCTCTACAATAACACTGATTATAAGAACTACGTATCCACTGCAAAGCTTTCTCCACGTGCTCAACCTGCTCAGCCTTACGAACCCCGTTTAACCGGAACGCAGATACATACATTACGTGATTATATATAACCACCTAGGACTGTAAGAATACTATGGAATAGTTTGCTATCAAAGATGAAGGATAAAGTCTTTGGACGTTGATCAATCCTGTCTGAGAGATGCGCCGACGCATTCGACTTCCAATCAGAATTGTAGTGGCGTACTGAGTGCGTATGTGGCCTATACAATGACTTGCGGTGGCCACCCGATGTACAAGTCAGTGCTTTTATCCTCCCAGATACCAACTGAGAGACTTCGGAGGGAAAGAAAGCTTGGTTGGCTTGAGAGGATATCGATTCAGGATTCGAACCCGCGACCATGCGTGTATGAAGTGCGCCACTAGCTAATTCACCACTTCCGCCTACACTCTACTATTAAACGACTAATAGGCAGATGTATATTTAATAATGGTGAATTATAACGATTAAGGTACCAAATATGCGTAACTACATGGTCGTAATGAACTTACTGAACTTCTTTTTTTTACTCTAGTATTAAAGAAGTTACCAAATATCGCACAAGCTTACACTGCACTGGACGAAGTAGACTCAATTGTCTACACGCCTACCTAGACGTTATGACTATAAAGTGCGTTCACTAATGGACGGGTCCTGGGCCCAGCAGTGAAACGGGAAATTCCAGGGACTTTTCCCTACCCTTCTTTCCCTCCAAATAATGTAATACAGTGCAGTGTCACTGTCCAGAGATATGAAAACCACTATAAAGCTTCCATCCAAACCACCAGCTAATACACCTCCGCTTCAGATTACTAGCAATTTCCTTTGACTCTACGGTAAACTGTGCGTATGCGTGCATCTACGGTGTGTGCTGCGCGCTAATCTAATACTCGACGGCTAATTCAGTAGGATAAGCTTATGCCTTCTAGTCTCGATATATATGGAGTTGGATTCAGTTCCAAGAACATCAATCGCATCTCATGTCGAAGAAGATAATGACAGCAATACCCGTATGAAATGCATGGCGGATTATGAGGTTATTCAGTTTTTTAAAATTCTTTTTCAATTCTATGTACCGGTCGGTAGAACACGATGTTGTTTACATAACAAATAAACGAAACACAAATAGTTCGTAAGGGTTAAGCATAAACCCAACCTGTAATACAAAATATACTTGCGCACTTCCTACTGAAAAAGCAAAACAGAAAAGCTCTCGTTTTTCCGTCCTCTTCACTTACTTCTCTTTTCAGGTGAAGCGTGAAATTGGTGAGGGCTCATTCAGTGTTGTATACTGGGCCATTGAGAAAAGCGATGCACATCGAGATGTAGCCATTAAAATGTGTATCAAAAAGCAAATTCTGAAAGAGAAAAGGGTTCGTTGCTTTGGTAATTAGATTTTCCTCTTTTTCAAATGTAAATGTTTCCGTACAGAAAAATAAATAAAGAAAATATGTCAAACCAATTGACTCCGTTTATAGTCCTCGCGATTTTTTCGCACCAAATGCTTGTTTGTTTCTTTAAGGTGGCCTATGTGCATCGGGAAAAGTGCGTTCTTGTTCGATTATCTTCTCCTGAACATCAACATCCCTTCATAGTCACTTTGTATGCTACATTCCAAGATCGGGATCATCTCTACTTTGTACTTTCTTATGCTAAACGTTAGTTGATTTTGTTACGTACTGATTCGCTACTATGTTATTTTGTTGTCATTCCTTAAATGTTTTTAATTTTTTGTAATCACATTTTGCTAATGAAGGTCCTTCGAAATATGTTATCTAGCTTAATGCATAATAATCGCTCTCAATACTAATCTCACGTAGATTTAGTCACCTTAATTCCAGACGGGGATCTCCTCCATATTATGTTGAAAAAACCAGAAAAGTGTTTTACTCTGGAAGAATCTCGTTTTTACTCTGCAGAAATTCTTCACGCACTTCGTGAGTCCTTAGCACACTACTAACTTTCTCTTTCATTTTGTTTATATTGGTTATAATACCACTTTTTGAGTGGTAGAATTCAGGTATTCGATTTCAGAGCATATTCATTCCCTAAATTTTGTACACAGAGATGTAAAGCCGGAAAATGTGTTGGTTGCTGCCAGTGGTCACGTCATGATATCGGATTTTGGAAGTGTTAAAGACCTATCAGAACAGGTGCGTTTACCAGGCTATTCCACGTAACCCCTCGCTTTCGTAGTAGAAAACTTCCGAGAAATTCAATTATGCTATGCCTCAAAGCAGAAATGGTCGCCTTTACGGCCGACTTCTCGCTAGCTTTGGAAATGATGTATTCTGTCCAAAGCAGCACTATCACGAAACTCTGAAACACGATATAGCTCGGGCTACTAACCTATTACTTCAAGTTTCCACTCTTAAATTTCAAATAACTGCAAGTTTTAGGTTGAAAAGGATAGCGAAGACAATACCGTCAAACGGGTTAGGCGATCTTCCTTTGTCGGCACGGCTCAGTATGTCAGTCCGGAGGTAAGGGAACAATCACTTTTATTGAACCACCCATTTTTGTTTTATACTCCTTCATTGTCATCCCCAATGATTCGACTAGGTGCTAGATGGAGAGTTGGTCTCACCAGCTGCTGATCTCTGGGCGTTCGGAGTGGTAGTCTATCAATTCTTAACAGGTACCCTCTTCAAATTCTGCCTATAATAATTAAGTACAATGACATTTTCATTGACTCCATTCCATATTCTTATACACGATAAAAACTTTCAGGCAAACACGCGTTCCATGATGAATCAGAATACCTGATCTACAGACGTATTCAGAAATTGTTATATTCATATCCTCCTGATTTTCCAAAAGCTGCTAAAGATTTAGTGGATCGTCTATTGTTAATCAAGGTAGAATTTATTGTTTTTCAATGTATTCGTGGCTACATTTAAGCTTACATCTGAAAGCAAGATTTGTGATAGTTTAGCCAGAAAGTCGACTCGGTACTGAAAGTAGCGGTGGTGTAGAGGCAATCCGTGGCCATGAATTCTTCGATGGCGTAGACTGGACTAATTTGCCGAACACTAAACCACCCAAAATTTTATGATAACCTTCAGTGTGTAGTAATTTTATTTCTTTAAGCAATGGTTTTGTGCAATATAACTATAACGAGTACACAGCAATGGAATTCAAAGCAGTATAAACTAGTCCGACTCCGTTGTTTTGTTCATCATTACGTCTGTATCCTCATATATTTGGAACTGTGCATGTTCATATTTTGTAATTCTTTGTATCAGTCCTAATTGTTTTCTGATTGAGCGCTTATTTCAGCGACAACCTAATGGCGAAAGTCATAAGAAGTGAGTCAGCTTATTGTTCGTGGTTTGTAGAATGTGATGAAAGTTAGATTTGTTCTAGCAAGGTGGGTGTATCGACCAAATAACAGATGGCATCGATATCTACCCAGGCGAAACGATGCAGTAAAGGAGTTTGACTACGGGAAAGGAGGATCTCTCTCCGAGTTCAGCGAGGAGTTAGCCAATCAGGTGGTTCGTCGCCCCGTTATCTAAGAGAAGAGCACAATTATAAAACGTGTGGGAATTGCAGGGAAATGAGGAACCAAAGGCTGGGCCGTCCAAGCTCTGGATGGCATGGCTATATCGTGATCTCAGCGGAGAACCACACTGGACAAAATCAAGAGTAGCAAAGTTGTTTGGTGATGATTATAAGGTTAAATTTTGAATTCGAAAAGTCTCTAAGAGGTCAAATCAAGGAGCTGCTTATGATGATCACTGGCCCCTCCACTCTCAGTTTAAACAGTAGTTGTGACTAAGGTAAAAAAAAANGGGGGGGGGGGGAACCAGGCGCGAGACGGTCTCGCCAATGTTCAAGCCGAGGTTTACGATCACTTTCTTATAGAATGACGAGTTGGTCAAAGGGATAAAGTCTTCGCCGTAACACAATCCCGTTTTTGGATGCCTCCCCCCCTGTATTCCACTTCCATTCAGTGGCGCTCGAATGCCTATGTGGCCTATACAATGACTTGCGATGATTAGCCGATGCTCGAGTCAGTGCTCCTATATTTCGGAGAGATCCGATACCAAGTATTATCCTAGAGAGATACAAAGAAAACTTGTTGACCCAGGCGAGTATGATTCGAAAATCCATCTGCGGATATCCATCTCTGGATCATGCGTGTGATATCACGCCTCTTTCCCCTCACCCCGAATGAAAAGGGTAATAAAAAGGTCTTCGGGAACGCTTCCGAAGTACTCGTTGTTCTTGTTCTATTGACTTGTATAACGAGGTCGGAAATGGCATCGTTTCTCTGTGACATTGGCTACTTGAAGGTGGGACGTATGGAAATATTCCCGAATACATCAGCCTACAATGAGGAATTATGGCATATCAAACATCTAATCGAGCTGAAACCTATGACATTTCCAAATGGAGAGCCCACTGCTGACGATATCTATGGCGTTGAGGTACGTTTTGAAATTCGTTTTCAAAAACAACAACTGTAAGTGCTTTGATTTGGAACCGGTTTCAGGTCCATCCAGATGGACGGTGTGAAGTAGCAAAAAAGGCCACTCCGGTTACGGAAGAACAGTTTAGATTGATGGATCCTCAAAAACAGGTAACTATTGCGTATCTTTTTCGTTCTGTTTTTAACATTTCCACTCTTTACAGTGGTCTTCGAAGGAACTAAACAGGCAATTGGCTACCAAATATCATGGACTAAAAGATGTATTCGAGACCAACGTTTACACAAATGCAAATATTAGTATTGTTAAATGATGTGTTGATTTTTCTGTTCGTAATCAGTTAGGTTGTTATTTAATTCAATTCGAAATAAACAGCTACTAGTGTCTCATTTGGAAAATTTTTTCTCAACACGAGATTTTGGGCTTGGAAGCGCCATCTAATCAAATCGCGAATCGAAACAGTGCCCCAATTTTAGAGCCCACTAAGATGACGGCAACAATGTAGATAGTCTTGAGTAGAGACAGATGGACACTTAAGCTTCGCAAACGATAACAAAAGGCAGCACATCATGTGCGTAGGTATCCATGAAACGATATCTGCCCCATACCTGTTTGGGAGCGCAATCAACACAGATTGGTGGGTTTTGGACTCGATCGAGTGTAACCGTAGACTACCAATGACCATTAGCTAACAACATGGAATTGCGAAATCTGCTCCAGGGAAGCACTCAGCACAGAATTTCGTAGTTAAGGTTTTCATTAACAGTTAGGGGTGAGATCAATCCCTCGAAAAAGACTTTCTCTCACTGTCTACTGTTTGAAAGCGGCTCACGAATGCACATGCTAATTCTAAGGCATTACTTCGTCGTTCACCATATCAGAAAGAGTCGGTGCTACGATGAAGAACCCTGGCAAAGATGAGTGTAAGGATGGAAATCCTCGCGGGTAATACGCCAAGAACGACAATTTGAACGCGCCTACGAGAAGCTGAGAAGACCTCTAAAAGAGTGGCTTGGCAAAGTGAAATCGCTTGATATGTTCACCCATAGCTGTGCGGTAATTGGTATTCTAACTTACTCTAGCTCGAACTGATAATAACGGTGAAGTGCATAACAATATTACCCGGAGAATGGCTTTTTTGAAGAGCGTGAAGACTAGACGAATCAGAGTCAGATTACAGAAAATAAATGGGAACCGATAAGTCGAGGAACATATGATTCGGGATGGAGTATTCAAGCTGCAGAAAAAGATCTACAGAGTTACTGTCCGTAAAAGAAGTGTGGGAGTGAAGAATGAAGGAGATCAGAATGTTCCAATCTTAGATATTATAAAGGTACGAATGCATACACTTCTCATAATGAATCATTCTTCTGCCTATGTTCGGCCCAGAACGTAACAGNATCAGAGTCAGATTACAGAAAATAAATGGGAACCGATAAGTCGAGGAACATATGATTCGGGATGGAGTATTCAAGCTGCAGAAAAAGATCGACAAAGGTTACTGTCCGTGAAGGAGAAGTGAGGGAATGAAGAATGAAGGAGATCAGAAGTTCCAATCTTAGATATTATAAAGGTACGAATGCATACACTTCTCATAATGAATCATTCTTCTGCCTATGTTCGGCCCAGAACGTAACAGGACGAGGAGCGGGAAATGCAGGAAACCTAATGGCATCCAAACCCAGACTGATCATATTGAACAAGGAGCGCTCCCATGAAAATCATTAAACGATTAGTAGTCAAGGAGAACGGATTGGAATGCTCACATGCGACATACGTGACTTACTGAAAACCTATGGTTCCGTTTTCCAGTACGGTTCATGTATTTCTATAGATTCTATATTGTAACTAATACAATATAAAAAAGGAAAGCTCAGCTCACTGCCAGTCAGCAAAGAGAAATTAATAAAACTGACCGTGCAATTATTGGGGCGTTGGGACGCTTTCACCTCTTGCACATCTGAAGTGAAGGTCAATCCTTCTCTGAATTACTGCTCACGAACCTGAAAAGGAATCACCGGAGTCCAATTCACAGGCGGTGAAAAAGATAGCGCCTACTCTTGCTGTACTCCACAAATATGTATGAAACTCAACAATGAAGGAGCGCCGTAGGGAATTTATTTACAAAATCAGAATTTAGCTCAAATTTCACATATACAAACATAAAAATTAAGATCAAAGGAGTTACGATTAAAGCCACACGTAGAATGAGAAAAGGCATACTGTAGAGTATGGGCAAATTTAGCTCAAAATATGCTATGTACAGTTATACTTCGTTAGACAAGGGTGAACAGTACAAGGCGAACCAGGATATGTAAAGGACGACCTTTTCGAAAGAGTCCTAGACTACTGAAAAACGATTCTATGAGCTCATAAGGGAAAAGAGAACTGTACAGAAAAAAGTGTGCTAAACGATCACTGTATGGAATCCACAATCGCTACATCGCAGTTGAAGCTGGCCATTGAACTGGACAGCTTCTGGTTGAACAGTACATTCGGTTGCTTCATGAGTAAAGAATCCATCAGCGAGTAGCTGTCGCAGCTCTGACTGCGTTGGTGGTGTCGATCCACTCGGGAAGTTATAGAGGAACGAACATCTCTAAACATTGACGAGCACTGATAAGCACACTTCGAATATACTCAACGTAATTTAATAGCGTACAATGAGCGCATAGCGAGTAAATACCCCATTGGTATATTTGTGCATGCAAAAAGTACTACACAATCTACGGTTTATAGAACGGATTTGCACTGTAAAGCAGCAGCAGACGAACCCTAGCAAGTACTATGATTGTTGGTTGAGAAAGTAAGAGAAAACAACAGAAAATAGAAGTTGCACGGGATACCGTACTCGACACATTGCAGACTTCTCCGTAACAGTCAATGGTGAGCGTAAACATGAAGGACAGTACACTGGTGGATTCAGATATTCCTCAACGTCCGCGGCTAGCCGTTCCTCTTCAAGCCGGAGTATGTCGTCATACTCTGGAAGCCATATTATATAAGCGGTCAAAAAACAGAACATCACTAACATCATAAAAAGGATTTTATAATGCTTACGCTCTTGAATAAGAGCTCTAGAAATCGATTCGAACAGTTCCAACCATGCATCTTCACCAAGGTCATCCATATCCGCTTTCATCTCAGCACTGACCTATGGAATCCCTAGAGCACCGCAAAAAAAGAAGAAAGGTGGAAAACTCACCGTTTCCCGCACTGCAGTTTCCACTTGTCGACGCGACGCGAACTGGTCCAGACGTCTCTCTCTGAGCTTCTCCGCGCACCTCTATATCTCGAAAGAGGTCATGAATACATCTATGAGGTATGTAACCTAAACTGCTCACTTTTCGAAGTGAATCGCGCATGGCGTGAGCGCGACCATTGTTTTTGTATAGATGAGCCCGATTGGAAGTCGTCGCCGACATCTTTCCTGAAACAACCAACTTTCCTAAAAGAAGAAATATAATTATACGAAAATTACGACGTGGAACGATGCGAAAATCGTCGAACATACTCATTTCCATTGCGAGTACAAACAAGTGAATGAAGTGGCGGAATACGCATTCAAATTCCCACGACGCGAACACGCACGTTGCAAATTCGCAATTGCTCACTGGAACTGCGCCACATTCATTCAAATCTGCCCCATGCATTACGCGCTCGAACCTTTCATCAAATTTCAGCGGAACGCAGCGAGTATGGCGGGACCGCTATGGCTGCCTTCAAAGTTCAACGACCCACCGCTGTGCGTGCGTTCCTCGCATGCGTGCGAGTGGCGGTGGCGCTAGACAGGTGTTGACAACGTTGGACGCCGATGGATGCCAGTGTTGTCAACAAGTGGATAGCGCCGCTGTCGCTCGCACGCACGCGACGGATGGACGGGCAGACGCAAATCGGTTGAATCGTTGAAGTCCGGCCGCTTTCAGACTCCGACGACCGTCCGTCCGACGCGCGCGTGCTGCGACGGCGGTCGCTAAGTAGTGTTGACAGCGCTGGCACCTGATTTAGTGTTGTCAACAACGGTCAGGCGCCGCCATCGCAGCACGCACTCGTCGGACGGACGGATGAGTCGTTGAGGTCTAAAAGGAGCCTCTGAGAGCAGTTAGCGGCCTTCAACGCAATCTGAACAGCGCCGTCAACATGTGGCCAGCGTCGCCGCAATCGGTCGGTCAGTCGATCGGTCGGTCGTCGAACTGTGGAAGCCGGGCGTGCTCGCGTCGTAGAACACGCAAATGAATAAAGTAACATCTACTTCTTACATAACATCGACTTGTTACACGCGCGTGTTTTGGAAAGAAAACCACGCGTATGGGNNACGAGGGATTGGAGCAACTGCAAAAACTTCGAAAGACGCAGACTGAAGCCACTACTATCCACAGGGCGAAGACGATACAACCTGTGCGAGTTGAGCACTGCTTGCATTCATACTTCATACACCGACGCCGTGTCGGTCTGAATCGTCAATCGGAGCAAACATACTTGGAGCAACAGTGTGAAACTTCTAGTCATCACTCAATATACGAAAAAAGGCAACCCAAAACACATATATCTAACGCTTAGAATAATTCAGTGCGATAACAGACATCATCGATAAATGGCCGACGCCGCCACTGTCGTCGACACTATAAATGCAACCATTTCCCGCATAATGGCGTGTGACGAACAAAACCAAAAGCGCTCCCAACCGTGTTTCGATTTGATGTACATCGTAGACTTCTAAATTCGCGGGTTTTAAAAACCGTTTCGTGGACGCGTGATACAGATGAAAAAAAAAACATGTAGTACAAAAGAGGAGTCTGGCAGAAGGGAGTCTGCCTTTTTTATCAGTGTGTAATCGTTTAGGACATTAGCAATAACAAAGTTGATTGGTAAAGATAGGTCACCGTTAAGTGAGCGATTACAGAGAGCCGCAGTCAGTCAGAGAGAACCCGATCTCCTCCCTCTGGTCAACACGACCTGCACAACATCTTCCAAAGGGCAAGGCTCCTCGACCTGAGCGATACTTCCTTCGGCATGACACTACTTTTAAAATTTCTACATTTCCCAAAACGATAGGAACGTCGCATTGAATCTCATTAAGGCTTCACAATTACATTATGGCGAAAAAGATCATGAAAAACGGCATATGCCTAGAGCCCAGGGTGAGAGAAGGGAGAATCACCCCACGGAAATGACTGCGAAGGGCACGATATGTTCAAATGGTGAAAGATAAGTGACGCCTGAGGAGAGAACTTGAGGTCTCCAAAACCGAGTTCAGAGAGGGGTGGATCTTCACCTCAGTAGAGCACTCCAATTAACCGGATGCGAACTTAACTCTATGAGCGCTCAATGGGATAGCAAATGGTCACGATGTTTTACAAAATATACTTGGAGGAACGTAGGGAGAGCATCCAGTTATCGCGCACTTAAGTACCAAGTAACCTAAAACATGCGAAATTTATAATGTTATCATACAGCTCCCAAAACATAATTGTGTAAAATGTAGACAAGAGAAAAGGTGCAAATAAAGTCTGTACTTCACACACCAGATAAACAGTTAGTATTGTGGTTACTAGTTGTTAAAAAGTACTCAGATACCATTTGGTGGGAAAGTTGGGCTGAATCAATTTTCACAGAGGTTTAGAGTTAAATCCAACCTTATAAGGAGATGTCGCAAGAACCGTAGGAGCATCAATCCATTCGATAGAAGTCAATCTATACGTACCAGTTCCTCCACTTTTCAAAGTTAACCCTTCCGTGTCATTCTCTGTTCGGGAACCTCATTCCTCGAGAATCGTGCACATACGCAACCTTCCTCGATGCATCTGGACCGAGCACTGCAATCCTCATCCTGTTATGTTTCACATCTCCCAATCTTCACTATTCATTTATCACTAGCCTATGAAAGATTTGAATAGTATGAGCATTGAGTTTCGCACTTACGTGAGAAATGACTTTTCCTTACAAAATTGCAAAAACTTGAGAACTCAAGTGCTTTACAGCAACCACTACAGCAATGTAAATAAATTGATTTGACGTTGACACCTTTCGCAAACACTCCTTGAGGTGATTCCCTTCCCCCACCCTAGGCGTTACGCATATGGCCCAACGTGAAAGTAAAGAAAACAAAAGTGAGGAAGAAGTCAAATTGAAGGCAAGAGAAGAAGTTACATTGAATATATGACGAGGCCGTCAATAAATGCTAGGTTAGAGCGTTACAGCTGTTTCGTAGCCATATCAAAACAAGTTGCTTTACCAAACGTAAACACTTGGAAGCGTGATCGATCACAATTCACTATCCATTACTTTTAAATAATATTATTCCAAAATAAATTCGATCATACACCTGAAACTGCCCAGAAAAACGCTTCACCAACCTCAACCAGAACTCTTTCCCGATGATAGAGTGTAGACGAGCAAGAAGAAGGTGTCCATTCCTTCGCAAACCGGCTAATGGCTGTTTTCAGACTTCAGCAATTAAATCGACGTCCGTCCTTCCGTGCGGCCCGTTGCGTGAGTGCGATAGCGGCCCTAGCCACTTGTTGCCAACACTGGGTCACTTGCCAGTGATCCAGTGTTGTCAACAAGTGGCTAGGGCTGCCGTCACACGCACGCAACGCGCCGGACGGAAGAACGGACGTCGATTGAATAGTTGAAGTCCGAAAGCAGCTAATGGGTACTAGACGCACTGTGCACTTTCATTGTTCAACGTCGATTATTCGTTCACGTCGCATCGAACACAACGTTGCTAGACACGAGTAGACAGCACTGGACATCATCTGACGTTGGCCGCTCAGCGGAAACCTGTTGACGACGTCCATGCCATCGCTGAAAGGTTTCTTCACCGTGTGGAAAACAACATGCTCCAGCGCAAAAACCGTCAGGTTACACGGTTCTTAACAGACCTCTGCCGAGCGACCAACATTGTCAATAAACTATGCCCAACGCTCTCAACGTATGTTTGGAACGCTGGGTTTTAACGTAAAGGCGTTGGGTTCTGAAAGGCGCTTCCAGAATTCAACGATGTGCATTATTTCACCGATCGACTGTTGCTGGCCACGTGCTGACAGCACTGGACCTATGGATATCGCTCACGCGGCCTTGACAGCCATCTGTCTTGCATTGCCAACACATGGCCAGCAACGTCGCCGGTCGATCAAACAATTCACGTCATTGAACTCTAAAAGCATCGAAAGCGCCCATTCATGCTTCCGTCGTCTCTCCATTGGTTTGGCCTTCGATTGGTGCCCTGCAGCACAATGAAAAGCTCATAGAGGGCTAGACACACACACAGACACTAGTACAGAAAATCCAATCGTCAGTCTTTTTTTTTTCAAGAGTCTATCATTTCTTCGCGAAAAGGCGAATTCCGCCCTTTTTTGAAAACTTTGCACCATAATCTTCCCATTTTATCAGTTCTCTAGGATGGCCGGTAGCGCAAGTCATCAGCCGATTGAAATTTATTAGTTTTCTGGGGGTTTTCTGCTCGTTGAACTTGAATAAAATCTGATCGGAAGAGCGAATGCTGAACGGTGCCTCTGGGAATCTGGTCGTTGCCGGACTGGACTTAAACCCTATACGCTTTCCTACAAATTGTCTTGGAATTGACCATGAGGAAGTCAAAGTAAACATGATGAAGGGGAGCGCCAACACCCTGACATTTCTGTGAACACATATTGTGTACGATCAACACCTAGCAAACCCGTTAGATCGGACAGAGCCTGACGAGAAGGTGATCTAAGCCAAAAAGAAAGTTATTTAGTTCAAAGAAAGTTAACTAGCAAGCACAAACTGAGCAGCGCGATGTTTACAAACTTCCTGGCGAATAGCCATTAGAGCCGGCGTCGCGAGTAGACGCTTATTTGTCACTTTTCGCGAAAATAACGGTTTCCTGAGCTAAGGTGAGGTATCATGTCTGTAAATATTGCTTATTGAATAGTAGTTCAATAGATAGTTCAACTCGAAATAAACACGAGGTGACCGCAGAAGAAGAAAGTGTCTTCGAAAGTAGGGATAACCGTGAAGAAAAAGCACTCTTGATGAGTAAACATATCAACAAAATGATGAGAAGTAGCAGTTTATTCTATTACAGAAAGTAACAAGTAACAAAATAAATGTCTAAACAAAAACATTCGTCACATAAGAGAAAACAGCAAATCTATAGTCATGTACACGCCTTCGGAATAGATCGGAACGTACCACGAATACGAAGAAACTGGCATGCAGAAAACAACCTAAACGATGGAAGAAACGCTCAATGGCGCTCAGCAATGTGTCTAACTAACTCAGCCCTACTTCGACACAATCTCTTCAACCGTAATAGGGTGGATGCCCGTAAAATTGCTGCTGTTGCATTTGTAAAAACTCAAAACCGGGAACAAATTGCTGCGACTGCGACGGGCCCATCACTGACGGTTGACCGTGGAAAAACTGTGGCCCAGGAAACTGTTGAGGATCTGCGCTCTGGTAGGAGACATATGTATTAGGATATACAGGTGCGTTAGATGAATTACAATAGACTGGCTCGTTTCCCATCATTGGAACGTGTAGCGGATGTTGGAAATTCGATTGCTGCTGTGATTGTTGTTGGTGCTGCTCGTGCATACTTGAAGATGTACTCATACTGGCACCTAAAAAAGGTTGAGGGACGGGCTGAGGCCAACTACTGGGGGTGCCGTGCACATTCCTTTTTCCAACACCCTGGTCTTTTTCATTGATGCCTTCTTTGTCTTTCTCATTCCTCTTCTCCCTTTCTCTTTCCCGCTCTTCCTCCCTCCGCTTCGTTTTGGCGTCTTCTGCGGACTGTCCATTAGGAAGGATCGTTCTTGCCAGTGGCATTTTCTGTCCGGGAACAAGTGGTACGGAAGTTCCCTGCCTTCCACCCGCTTGCTTTACATCCTTTTTGCCGCCGGATTTCTGCTGTTGCGACTTCCCTTTTGCACTCCGACCACTGCTGTTACCGAAGGAAGCGTTTCGATCGTCCGCTGAACTACTGGTAGGGGTGGGTGCCGGTTGGTTGATCACTTCGACAAGGCAATCCCAATCATCTTCCTCTTCATCTTCTTCTTCCGCCTCCTTCCTTAACCTTTCAGCTTCCTCTAATAATTGCTTGCGACGTAGAGCAGCCTTCTCTTTCTTGGTCAAATTGCTATCAGAGGGCCGTTCAGACTGGTGCGAAGGTTGATTGAAAGTTTGAGAGTCTGCACCAGGGTAAACGTACGATTTCGTTTCGCTTTCTGGAAACACCTCATCTCTGTTGGTGATCACAAACGGTGACTTGATGAGCGGTGAATTTGATCGCGTTGGTCTGTTGAAACTATCTAATGATCGCTTCACATCGGACAAAAGGGTTTGGAAAGTTGTGGACTGCGACGTTTGTGCTCTTGGTCGAAAGCCTCCCCCAAATATTGATGGACTGGGCTGCATCTGCGGAGCCTCAGAACAATTCTGAAGACCTATGCCGAATGACTGTAAGTCAATAGAAGGCCTTGTCCTTGACTCGGTTTCTTGTGAAATCTGGGAGCAAAGTTGAGCCAACAACTGATCACTGGTAGATTCGACCGACTTCTTCAAGCCTACTTCCCTATAAAGCCTGTCAACCAGCGATTCATCAACCCTTCCGTTCCTTTCAGCTTCTTGTTGCATAGTGATGAGCACACCAAGTAATTTGCGCATTTGTGCTTTTTCGTCGACCTCTTCCACAAGTTGGACAGGTGCTTTCCTTCGACTTGAGCTGCCTTCTAAAAGCTCCTCTACCACCATGGAGACTGGTGCCGATGGTTGTGACTTCGCCAATTGTCTGAGCTGTTCAAGTTTCTCCTCCAATTCTCTTGCACGCGACGATGTCGATCTGTGGTCCTTCGACGGATCTAGTACACTCGCCGCGGCCTGCGAATCTCCCAGCTTGGCCAGAAAGGCGGCAGCTGTTTCCTCCCAAGTCATGCCAGTACCCGCGAAAGGATCACGCGGTGAGCGGCTTCTACTACGTCTGCGACTACTAGAGTGACTGGCTGTCTCCCTATAACTACGATCTCTACTCGAAGATCTGCGACGATCAGATTCGCGGCGATTAAAATGGCTAGAAGTATGAACGACTTCTCTGCTGGAACTACTGTTACTGTGTCTAGCATCGCGACCGCTACTTCTCTGCGGGCTTCTGCTTCGGCGACGTTTCCAATCTGGCGTCTCTGACAGATGTCTTCCCATTTCTCTTGTCGGAGACGGAAGGATAACTTCAACGGGTGGCGAACGCTTTCTTGAGTGAGCACTGTAACTAATTAACATAGAAAAAAGATAACTCCATCACGAGAATTTCTATGTAGTTCGAAAAGTATGCGACGTACCTGGTTTCTTTTCTTTTCTCTGCTTCTCTTATTTTGTCCGTTTCTTTATCCCTATTCGATGAATGTCGGCGGACGCTTCTATCGGACCTTTCTCTGTCTCTGCCGTCAGATTTAGAAGATCGACTGCTGATACCTTTAGATCCACTGTCTTCCTCCTTGTCTTTAGCTGTGGAAGAACGGCTGTCGCTTTTTCCCGATTTGTCCTTATCCTTGTCCTTCGAACGGCTGCTATGTTTAACTCCATTACTTGCAGAATCGTCTTTTGGTTCCCTCTTAATTACTGTACTTGACTGATCCTCAGGAAACATCATAGCAGATTTGGATACTGGTGGAGGGACATCCACTCTTTCCATCGTAGAACCTAAATATGAAAAAAGTTGAAACCAAAGTTGAAATTTTTACTACATATAAATCACATTCTTTTTTGTCTGTCGCTAATTTCGGCATTACTTGAAAAAGCACCCACGGTTGGGCCAAGTTTGGTGTAGACTGTACCTAAGAAAAGTTCAAGAGAGCACGGAAGAACACAGCGAAAACCCTCTTACAGGAGGCGGGAAATGCACCGGACTGGGCCGTGTCAAAGGAGAGGTTTCTAATCTGGATCCGGATGAGTAGAGAGATCGAGAAAAATGAGCAGAGTTTAGGAGGGGGGCAACCATCCAGGTGGAGGAAAACTATCCGCGGTGGGCGTAGCAACTCAAAGTGGGCAGTAATTTCTAAACAAATTCACAAGTTGCTTCCAACGAAGCCTGGAGGTAAACAAAAATTGGATAGAGGAAGGTGTAAAGTGTGCATGCATGGGTAAACTCAACATAGTTCCACCTCTGGTTTGCGAAATGTTCTCAAGAAAGTCTTTGTCAACTAGATTTCATATCTTTCTTCGAAAACGCTCTAGAATTTGGACAGTGATTGGAGGTTACTAAAGGAAGAGTTGACAAATCTCGATAGTGGGCAGGCTTGGCACTGAGGTGGGCGGGCAAGCTCCGAATAGACGACGATAATTCTGTCCAAAGCGTCCCAGAATTA